TTGTGATATTCCTACATGTCGGAGGGCAGCTATAATGGTGATATTCTTACATGTTGGAGGGCAGCTATGATGGTGATATTCCTACATGTAGGAGGGCAGCTATGATGGTGGTATTCTTACACGTTGGAGGGCAGCTATGATATTATTACATATTCGAGGGAAGCTATAGTAGTGGTGGTATTCTTACCTGTTGGAGGGCAGCTGGAATAGTGATAATTTTTTGTATAGCACTCCCAAGTCGTTCTATGTAGTATTCCCAGTCTAATATCTGTACATGTGAATGTATCAACAATTAGACAAAGTAATGTCATTGAAACAGAATAATTTTAATTTGGTAGAGAGTATATTAATCATGGTTGTTGGATAATACTGGCATATAAAACATATATGCCATTTATTTGCATTTCTGATATCAAAGTCAGATATACCTGGCATACTTTACATTTTTTCAATTAAGTACTAACACTTACATTTCTGATATCAAAGTCGGTTGCTGCAGGCATTTTTAACCATTTCTTTAAGTAGTGTCTTTTAACACCGGGTTCAGCTTGAAAGATTGCCAGTGGAATTGCTCTTTCTGTCACAGGTGCCCCTTCAGGTTTTTTTGCAATTATAAACTTGCAAGACAAGCCTTTGTCTTTCACCATTTGATCTCCTAAAAACTAATATATTAAACATGGTTTAATAATATTCAAATATAATATATTCAAATAATATTCATTGCAGATAGCACTATACATTAAAAAAATTCATGTGAGGAAGTTAAATTACCAACTTATTTTCCTCAAAATACAACAAAATTTTCAAGAGCTTACAAAGTAGAGCTTAATATCAAGAGGTCGCAATAAAAACATGGTGTTCAAGTACATCCATTAACATGAAACTAACCTCAGGTTTTTTCAATCCACAACCATCCAGACATTGATAGTGCCCAGTATACCTACCTCAGCCAATCTTTTAGCAGTACTAATAGAAGTAGATTTCTGTGATCCATAATCTTCTAACTTTCTTGACATACTTCTGTTTTCTGATATTAGTTCAAACAGCTCAGTATCTGGCATATTTGCAGCCTACAGGCATAAGATAACAGATTAGTGGTCACTGGATAGAATAGGATGAATGACTAGTGATCAATGAGCAATAGGGGATGACAGATTAGTGGTCAAAATAAGCGAATGAGAGATTAGTGGGCACTGGATATAAAAGAATGAGA